ACAAATTACACTTGCATAATAATAGTCCTAGCCCTAGGGGAACCAGAAGTTTTTTTTCTCGCATGCAGTGATTGAATGCGGCAGGACTGTTTTGGGGTCTACTGTATTTGCACTTTCTTTGCCACCGATGCAGTTTCAACCCATATTTGAACTGTTTGACACCATTTAATCTATCTTAAGTTGCTATTTTTCAAGACTATGTTGTTTGTAGGAATTTTACCCTGACACGGCCTCCATAATGTTACACTTTATACATGCATATACTCACCAGTATCATCAGTGATGACGCAGGAGTGACGAATATGAGCAATGATAAACTCGGGATCATCCAAGAATGCCATTTTACAGTGCTGACTATAGGAATATCAGTATAGATAGTCTTCAGTATGGGATTCAAAATAACAAAATTGGAAACAGCATAATAATCAGGGCTTCTGATAGGTCATGCAAAAAAAAGTCAAATTTCACGGGATTTTTAGGGACAAAATCGCAGAAAAATCGGCCGATTTTATGGGAATTTTCTGGGCAACTTGGTCAGAAAACAATCGGTAAAAACATGGCAGATTTTGTGGTTATTTTCAGGGCAAATTTCGCTAGAAATCGATCGCTTTTGCACTGATCAGACCAGCATTTTTAATGTTTTTCTAACAGAGGTCATCATCTGCTCTTTCACCAACAATAGGTATATGCTCCAGAAATGAACCAATGGCAAAGCCTTTAACATCATGGCTAGTGCCCAGTTTTTCGCACCATAATCTACACCTGGTAGTTTCGGAACGTTGTTTGCACATTTCAGTGAAGACGTTTTGACATAAATTTACGAATTTATGGCAAGTAAAGACCCCCAGTAGCTGAGAGAAGTTTCAAAATTGCTGTACAGACATGTATTTGATAAGATTTCTACCAAATTTCACGGCACTTTGCATGTTTTTGTGAATTTCACAGGGTTTCGTGGATTTACCTGAATTTCGCAGCTCTGCGACCGCGCGAAATATCAGAGGCCCTGTATAATCAATGATTAACCATCATAAATGACTACAATACATAATCGTCATCACCATCATCACTATCATGACAAGATGGTCAAATTGCAATTAAAATTGCAATTAAAAGGTTATAAACACCGCACTAATTTTCCAGGCTTAGGGTTACAGTGCTCGACACTAACTTTTTTGGACACTAGGTAATGGGCTAGTAATAATATATAATTACAAATAATTTTTGCGATGAAATAAAAACAAATAAACAGTTGCTGTGTTATCTTTCTTTGTTTTTGTGGAAATTTTATCTTATGCAAGATTTAACACATTTCCTATAACTTCTAGGGTAACACTGAAGAAACAAAAGTCGGACACTCCGCCAATGCACGCGAAAAGCGTCGAAACATATAATAAAGCTAGCTTAAAGATTCTGGAATATCCGAACACTTGTGTCATTGCAGGTTTTTTAAAGCTCATGTAACTTTAAGTAATTAAATTTTGGACCTTACAGGGGAACCCAAAACGAAGAGATACGCTAAAGATAAATTGACTTAAAACTGACTTATCTCCCTGAAAGTTCTAAGTCTGCTGTTAACTTAAACTCAGTATTAATAAAATACTGCCGAAATATCGAATTCAGTTTAATACCTTTTGGGTCAAACGTCCCAATTTTTATCAAACAGCTATTCCAAAGTTGGCTATTCCTTTTCTTTTAAAGATCAGAATCTCCTTACTACTCACCTCGTTCTTCTCTGACAAACAATATTAATGCCAGCAGTTAATTTATCATCTTCTACATCGAAGGAAACAAACAAACGAAGACGTCTTAGCCGCCATCGTTTTTTCTCTCTCTGATTAGGAGCCTCCGCTGACAAACAGTTTACGCTCATCATGTTACGAATCCTGGGAGGGTAGGGTGAAGTGAGGCGGGGTGGGGACAACAGGCTGAAAATTCTTATGTATTGCTCTTTGATAACTAACATGTTTTAACATTAGCTTATTGATTTGAAATGACTAACTAACTTCAGGTGATTTTCTTGAAGATCACTTTTCTGTTTCAGGAGCCATTGTTTCTAAACCAAGGACACAAACATCACATTTACATGTGTCCAGCAGCCATCAGTACAATTTAATAAATCAACAACCACATTTTTCATGTTCCTTTAAAGTCCCCTTAACACATCTATCTCGGTTGTTCACTTAGCTTCTCCCACCAAATCACACGTGCTCCCACCCTACCCCCCCCCCCTTCCTGCTCCAGTGGTTTAACTGTCTGCTTCCTATCTGGGCTCATATATTGGGCTTATTTATCCTCATAAGGGCTTTTATGAGGTTTTATAAATACATTTTTCACCAGAATAGAAAAAGCACTATGAAACAACCAATGACAGTGATGATCAAAATACATTTTGCATTCACTGGTCTTAAATCAAGTTTCAAAACTTTATAATAAAATGAACTCATTTTAATATAGCCTACTATACGTGGGCTAATTTCAATACAACTAGAGGAGGGTTTATATCCGGGGGATCTTATAATCGGACATGTTGTTTTGTTTACAGCTAGATGGGTCTTTAACTGGGCTGGGTATCCCTGGTAGGCTAGTGGTGATCTCTAAATCTCCGAAGCATTGGTAATGAATGTGTCTTGGGAGCTCAAAGTCTTGGCAAATCTTGTATTTGCCACCCAAATTATCCTTGAAATAAAAAAAATATTCAGAGACAGTCCAGTTTACAGTAATTTACTGTTTGACAAACAATGAACTAGACAAAATCATGGAATAGTATAAATAAGGTACCAGTATGTGCAGAGAGAACTATTTAAGTTGACATCACTCATTCTTTTCTGAAATCATCTTAGTATAATTTCTCTCACACAACTCAATTTTATCAATTAAATAATTTCTGTTGCAAATACTCTGGTAAAGATCAGTCTTAAACACACAAACATTATCAAATGTTGCAGGATCTACACTAGCGAAACTTCTCTCTTTTGCTAACAATAAGTTAATGATGCTGTCCGCAGGTTCCCATGGACGAAAATTATCATCCAACATGATGTGATGAACCGATTTGTCACCAAGATCAATAAACAGGGGCTTTGCTGCTAGCGAATGAAAATGTTGTGACTTCCACCACTCATAATCATCAACAAATAACTTAACACCACGTGTTTGACTAAAATATTTGTAGATGTCATAGAAATTTGAAAGCACCAGATGATCTTCTGGACATTTCAGAGTGATTTGATTGCTTGATCGCATTACCTTCCCTGCAGTAAAATTCACAATGTGTGTTGAATTATCCACAGGATCCCCACTTACATGGGATTGCTGTGGCTCTCCTGCACAAACAATAGCATTTCTTCCATCACGGTAATCTTTGGTTGCTTGTAGCACCACTTGGCCGTCTCCACCAAAAGTACGAAAAACAATAGCAAATTCCCTTTTACTTTCTATCAAATGGTCTAAAAGCTTGTAGAAGGATGGCACAATACAATGATGTTGTATCCCCTTTCGGTCTGCAAAAGAAGGGAGATCATTACCATTCCAACTTCTGATGTTCCCGGGAAATTTGAGTGCATCCATCATATTCTCATAAAATTGTCTGAATGGCTGTCCAACTTCCCCTTCGGTAAATTTCCGGATGTGGCCTTTAAACTCGCTTCTTGGTTGCCCACTGTACTTAGCTTGAGCGTATCTGTAATAGGAGACCATGCTTTCTTTTGGCGGTCCTTCATATAATGTGCTATGATCACCGATCCACTCTCCAGATTGGACAACCTCCCCCCAAGCTACATCAGTGAGATATTCATTCAAAGCCTGTTCGGGTGTCACGGCCTTTGTAATGGAATCACCGATGAAAATTGCGTTATTCACGTCCAGATGTAAAACGAGCTTTCGAGGTTTGCCGGCATCTTCTCGGGTTACCATCGCGACACCGCTGCAGTTAAAAGAAAAATAGAGTTCCAATTGACCCCATCTTGAATATTAAATCATCTTCCATAAGCGTACTAAGCTGCAGATTATACTAACAATTAACAAGCACGACAATGAACTTCAGAGCTGTCGTACGTGAACAATTTGCTCGTTGCAACCTTTGCCCGTTGCCAATGGTTCATAATACATATAAGATCAAACAAACCGTCCAAATAAACTTATCCAGTACCAATCCCAATCGGCCGGTTCTGTTAAATAAATAAATAAATAAATAAATAACGCATTTACTTCGAGTACCGGACACAGATGACGTAAAACAAAAAAAAAAACAAAAAAAAACAAAAACCAGGAAACAATATCGAGCAGATTTTTCCCTGAACAGAAAACAAAGGGAAGAGGTCTCTTATTTTACGTCATCCGTGTCCGGTACACTAAGTTTTGACCAATAAAAATCTTTGTGCGAGTGATCCTCTTTTAAAGTACCTTTCAGCTCAAGATCGCAAAGTACACGTGTTATAACTTGACCTTGTTGAAATTTCCGGCTTTCTGCGAATGTTAGTTAGTAACCAAACCTAAAATGCTAAGTGACTTTTGTAAGCCGCGTGGCACGTGCGCCGCCAGGCCATCCCAAATTCTTCAATAGTTTCTTCATTTGTGTTCTTAAGAGATTTTTGGCTTTAACTAAAGCCAGGTTAGGTCTGATCAAGGCATTTTGAATGGAACTATTAACTTAACAGGCACAGAGAATGAATCAGAGTGAGTCTGATAGTCTAATTAATTAACATTGACATTAAAAATGCACAAAAGAAAAATCTTTATTAAAATAAAGATTTCTCGCGAAAAAATCGTTTGTGTTTTAGTGTTGATATCAATCCATGGTAATACAATTTTCATTTATATTTCCGGATCTGATGTATTAGTCACAAGGAAATACACGTCAACAAAAAGTAAACCTTGGCTCGTCTGACGCAAAAAGCCTCCACAACGCCCCCGGAAGTAATGATTTCATAATATTTCACGCCCAAATTTAGACGCCACAGGCCATATATGGTTGCTGTCACGGGGGCTTGTCACGGTTTATTGTCTGGTCAAAGTGAAGTCACCGCTCGGATTTAAGTCACGGAGGATAAATTTGCGGCAGTCGTTATTCCTGGAATTGCTGAACGGAAGCAAGGCACGTATAAATTCGAGGAGATGTCGGTAGCTTAGATTTTACAAGGCAGGATAAAGTGATTGAGGTTTTGGGGATTAAACGGCGGCGTGAACATGGGATTTATACGAGTAAAATTGATCGAGGTGGAACCGGCGGCTAGCTGGTCGAAAAATCCGCATCCATTCGAATCTTATTGTGCTGTGCACATAAAAGAAGCAGTCATGTCTGCAACCCAAGGGATCTCTTTGGTTCAGAAGAAAAAGACTATCTATCCTGAGTGGAATAAATGCTTTGACACTCATCTTTACGATGGCCGCGTCATAACGATCGTTGTTTTACAAAAGCCAAGTGGAAGAGTCATTGCCGAAGTTTCCATCGGAGTTCAGTTTTTAGTCGATCAATGTAAACGTGACACTCATGGATTTTCTAGCGTTTGGGTAAGTTGGATGCATTTTACAGTACATTATTTTTCGTTAGAAAGTATGTTACATATTGGCACTGTGGGAAGCTATAAAAAGCAATCAATCTTGTATTAGAAAGCGCATGTCTCGTACTTGTCTGCGAATAGATTGAATTCATAATATCAAAATAACATTTGTTGATTCGTACTTTGTAAACGAACATGCACTTTAACTTAACTGTAGTTTCGATTTCCTTGTTTCCTCTATCCATTTTTTTAAAAATTTGATCTTAAAACAGTTATAAAAAGTACATGTATCTTGAGAAGCGAAAGAGCTAGTGGAATGTTTTGGTCACAAACGAAGAAACAGCTTGCATAGAATGAAAGTCATCAAGAGTCGAAGCAAGATTTGCATACGTCGTATACATTAATCAATAGTTGACGTTAAGCTGTATCATTTGTTCAGTTCAACTTGTGTGGATTCTGTATTACAGACTGCGATAACGGCACACCCTTAAACATTTATGAATCTAAGAATGTTCGCTTTGGTTATTCACTATAATTACATTTTCTATTTTAATCACCAATTTTTCGACACTTTATTCCTTTTGTCGACAGTCAATTTATTATTGTTATTGTCAGTTGAAATCAATAGCTTTGATATTAAATTTGATTGCATCTGCGATTGTACTTGTAGAAGAATGCTTTGTAAAACTCTTAATGGACTTCATTTTTCAATTATAAATTTAATTAAATGAACCCGGGTGATATAATTTTTTTTCTTCGGTATCATTGGGTGTAATTTTATTTATATTGTCAAGTTATCCTGGTCGAATAGCTGGATTTATTATCTAAACACTAATGGAATACCAGGTGGGCTTTCACACACAAGTCATGTTATTATTAGATCCGAAATTGGTGATGAATTCCAACATTTGTTGAAATGTACCCACTCATCACTTTCTCATATAAGGGGTATATAAAAAAAATCTTCTTGGAGAGCCTATACTCGATAAACAGTAATTTTACGAATATGTCTTGCAAGGCACTTTTTTTATATCATGTCTATGTGCGATGAAAACATCGTAAATCTCAGTTCTCTTATATTGAAATATTCCAAATTGTTATGCATCCGAACTCTAATTAAACTTTCTTACCATACGAGTAGCATAGAAGCCGTACATAGCCAAGTAATTTTTCTTTTATGATAATATTCAATTGTTCCTTTCTTTCTTACTTAACTTTTATTTTACTTTTTTCATTTGTCATTGTTTAAGTACTGAAATCTTCGTGTCGAAGATAGAGTCAATAAAGTTGTTACTAATTATGAAAACATGAATTATTAACAATTTATCGTCACATGTGGAAAGATCACCATTGCTGTGGCTACAAAATAAATCATACCTTTAGCAGCAAAGTAGTATTAAAGTGAAATGGTTTGGTATTTCATTTGTGTTTGTATAATAAATAGAACATGACATGGCTGCTTGAGACATGAACTTTTTATCCTCGTGTATCTCCGTGCAGCCATGTAATATCCTGTATATATACCCATACACAACATGCATGTTATAGGAATACTTTTCTCTTCAGTTGTGAAACTATAAAAGTGCATTAATGTTCACCACATAGGCTATATGAAAAGCCAAAATCTAGCCTGGGCACCCTGGATTTCATGGGTTTGGGGCACTTGGTTCAGATCCCTACAGTTTTTCTTAGAGTAGCATAGCTTTGTATTCCATCATAAGACTTGGCAAGTACTGTATGTCTACTCCCCTAAGAGACTTTACTGGTTTGAATTGACCTGCCCTGTTGGAAATTTCACATTATTGCATGTAGGTTTATCCCCCCTCCTTTGCTGACCTTCCATCAGCCAATTGTGTATGTTTTCTGTGACCACACATTTGAAGAAACAGGCACCATTCAGTTACATGCATGGTTTAAAATCAAATTACCATTTGAAGTAATAAGATGTCAATCTAAAATTAAAGTGAAAGGTTGTGTTTATTATTAGACATGTCTGTTACTGGGTGCACATTATAGCCATTTTCAAGTGTGGTCTGTTTTAACAATGTCATCATCATTATACTACCAGCTGTAAAAAAATCGCGTTTTGTTTTAATTTAATTTAATTTTTTTTTTTTTTCATATTATACAGCTTGATCTTCAACCCACTGGCAAACTACTCGTCCAAGTCAGGCATTTTATTGAAGTCATAGGTAACAATCCATAATTGAATAAGTGTGGAAAGTAAATTAAAATAATAGTGCTTTCCAATGCACCTTTAAGCTCCAAAAGTGACCAATGTTAATTTTCTCCTTTAAAAAATTTCAATACATAATAAAGCAAAAAGATTCTAAGAATTGACAAAATGATCACCAAGGGGGAATGTTTGATCTTTTATCAAATTCTCCTAAATAATTCTTTAAGAAAAAGTATGGAGAGCATTTTGGAGAATTTGCATGTGGATATTGGGAAATAAAAGGTAAGAGGCTCTGCCAGGGGGGGGGGGGGGGGGCGGGACCCCCCACCGATTTTAAAATACTTCCGGTTTTTTTTTTTAAAAAATCGTTTTTTTTTTTTGTCTTTTTCGCTCCCCTTGCACATTTTGTGCGGGGTGTGGTTTTTTTTTGTGTTTTTTTTTTTTCATCCGTTTCTGGTTTTTGTAGTGAGTTTATATCTGATAACGTCGCACTACTGTGTCTTTTACTCTCGTTCTTAACATCACACCATGCTTGTCTAGTCACCCATTACATTACAAAAAAAAAATCCAACAAATAAACGAACGCGATGGATAGGAAGCGAGGAAGCGGGGGGGGAGGGCGGCGTGGGGGGGGTGGGGGGGGGGGGGGGGGGGGGGGGGGGGGGTCAGTGTCACCCATCTGAATTTTAAAACGTCTCGTGTCTTTTTTTTATAAATGCTTGTTGCTTATTGTCGGCTTTGCCGTCACTGTCACAATTTGGCCGAGGAAGGTTGTATCTTGTCATGATTTCATTTTACACGCTGTCACTGCTTTTTGGGCCATGTCGCTTGTCGGAATTTACCCTGGCAGGGCCTCAGGTAAAGTATACACTGTGGCATTTTGCTACCCTGGGCAGTCCTCATAGTGTTAATAGTGCAAATGACAGTAATGTCATTGGTTAATCCAGGAAATTCGTTGGGTATGATTTTGGCAAAGAAATGCATTTGATTTAAACCCTAACCCTATAACACATAGAGCAATTGTAAATGAATAGACTGTGACAATTTTTTACAGCTTAGAACCTGAACACAACTCCACAAAATGTATCAGAACAGATTTTTCTCAACATAGCTCACTATGTTAACTTTTCAAACTAGTACATAACCCATCTTACTTAACGTAAGTTCTGTTGCCTTCTGTTCAAAGGTTCAGCTAGAAGTAATGTTCAACCGTTTCAATGTAAAACTTGCGTTAAAGTTTTTATTGCTCATACTTTTTACAGATGATCCCTCAAAAGAAGGAAAGCCTCATGAGAACCACAGTGGGCTCACTGGACGTCGTGGCGCCATGCGAAAGCAGAAATGTCACATCATTAGAGGGCATAGATTTGTTGCTAGATTTTTTAGGCAGCCTGTTTTCTGTTCCTTCTGCACAGAATTTATGTGGTGAGCAAGTCTTGAATTTACAGTTGATAAAACTCTAAACTCCAACACTCTTTTTCATCAACGGCAAACAGAAAGAATTACTGTCTCCTTTTTTGTGCCTCGGCTGAAAATTGCACAGTTCTCCCTTTTGCCACTAAAAATAATGATTTCCATGTATGTTTTTACTCTTCTGCAGGGGATTCAAGAAACAAGGTTATCAGTGTACAGGTAGGACTTTTACTTTGTAACAGTTTGTCCACAAAATGAATACCATAAACTTCCGCTTAGAAGCCCTCAGCATGTACTGTAGGGGGTTTTAGGATCAGGGCTTATAAAAAGGGGACTTATATCCGGGGGGGGGGGGAGCTTACATGTATGAGCGAACTATAAAAAGCATTTCAAAACAAGCTATATATATACAGCAGAGTTGATCAAAATATTTTTTGAATTCACTTGCTTTTTTAAACTTCAAGATGTCGTAAAAGATCAAGTTCATTTCAATACAAGCTAAAGGAGGGGCTATTATGGGGGGGGGGGGGGGGGGGGTTTAAAGGGGGGGGGTTTTAAACAAAAGGTTAGGGTTTTTTTAAAAAAGGGGGGCAAACAAAGGGAAGAAAGGGGGCCTTTCAAAAATTTTCTTCCCCTCCTTTTTAAAGTACAAAATTTTTTTTTACAGATTTTGGGAAAATTTTTTTTTTTTCTTTTTTTTTTTGATTGATATAATGTAACAAGTGATATAACATAAATCATTAATCTGATAAAAGATGGATTGATAATTTCTTTTAATTGTTGTTTTGTTTTTTAAAAAGGGAAGATCAAAAAAGATTAGCATTTTTTTGATAAAAAGGTGAGGGGGGGACGTTGGTGGGGGGGGGGGGGGAGAGTTATAAGTGGAGAGCTTTTAACCAGAAGCTTACGGTATTTTTACAGAATGAGTGCAACTACAGGCAGTAACTGGGACCTTTCACAAATTTACTCTCCATCCATTTGAAGTAGCAGAATTTTTTTTGCACAGATTGAGGAAATCTTGCTTTTTTGCATTTTAGTTTGCACAATGGTATGCCACAAGAAATGCCATGAGCTTATCCTTAGCAATTGTCCAGGAACACAAAATCTGACAGAGGAAACCAAGGTATTTATTCTGCAATATTATTTTTAATACTGTACATGCAAGTCATACACTTTTGCAAACCGCAGGGTACCAACCACCACATTATATCAATTTGTGCATACCTAGTATGCGCCTTACTTAATTCTCTCTATATTCCCCTCAGTGTTTTACCCGTAGTTGAAGTAAGTGCTGCTCTCAAATAAGCGTCACTCTCATAAAAGTGCTGCACCCATAACAAGGAAAATGAAATAAAATAATTGATCATTTACGGTAACTAAGATAAACAAGAAGTGGGCCTGGGCGCATAAATGTGAGACCTGGTTGCTTAAAGGACAGGCTGAGGAATTCAAGTTTTTTCAAGCCCTGCTTTTTTCAACCCCTTATGTGAAGACCATTTTTCCAACAACTTTGAATGCCTTTGTTATTTACAGAAAATGAAGGAACGGTTTAAGATTGACATGCCACATAAATTCAAGGAAACAACTTTCTACTATCCGACATTCTGTGACCACTGTGGATCCATGATTTATGGAATGCGCAAACAAGGGTTAAGATGTAAAGGTTAGTTGTCTTTTCGAAAATCCATTACAATTTCTACAGTAGCCTGAATTTCATCCGATTACTTCGAGTCGTTATTACTACAGCTGTTTACAACTAACGTACTTGATGGCGGCTCAAAAAAATATGTTTTATTAATTACGAACTATCAATGTCTTAATACAAGAAGTCATAATAACTTCAAACAGGGGCACCCAACGGCAATTTTCGGGAAAATATCTGTTTGGAAGACGATTTGAGATCTAGAATTTTCGGAGCATTTGTTGTAAAATTTCTTGCTTGCCTGCCTCTCCTTGGATTTTCGAACATCTACAAAATGGTATCATTACCCATTTTTAACGGATTTTGACCCTAAAAAAGGCCACCTAGAATTTTCGGGAGCCTTTTCCTGGCTGTTTTTATCCCTATAATTTTCGGATCACTAGACTTTCAGCTAGGAAATCCGAACAGATGAAAAGTTTTTAGGGGATAAAAATATGCGTATATCTACCGTTTGAATACTAAAATACGTTCAACAATGCTATGTTAAGTGGTTTTGAACTATATCCTCGTTGGGTGCCCCTGTTCAACTGGCAAATTACACAATTTAAACCATTTTTTTAAGTATCCGTTATTTTAAAACTCAACAGCTGACGATATTGACAACATAAGGGTTTGTGTACTTGATTTACTTGAAAAAAAGGTTAAACAACAGCTGAGGGGCCCGGGAATAGGGCTGCAAATAATAACAAATAATAAAAAAACTCATTTTTGTTCGTCTGTCTGCACCCGCACAGCTGTACGTTAAGTTGTAGGATGTGTAGAAATGTAAAGACTGAAACTATTAAATTGAAACCTGCTGCTTAATTTTTCCACAAAATAAGTGTTTACCGAACGAATTACTTCCACGTTGAAAGAGTACCGAAGGCAGTGGGGTTTGACTCGTCTGGTAAGTGTTGTAAGGTACCTGGATACCGCAGTAAAAAAACGAAGCAGTGCAAATTTCTAACTAAAAGCTAGTCTTATACTGCTGTATGATATTTTTTATATCATCCAATTTTTGTGTGTTGTTTATCATTTTCTTTGTAAGGGGCGACAGCGAAGTCAAGTTGTGGTAACGCTTTTAAAATTCAAAAGCCACTTTTTCCACAAATGAAAAATGATAAGACGTAAAAAGGAAAAAAAGGTTAAAACATTTATTCTAGGAAAAGAGACCTATTCGAAAACGTACATAAGTTAAGGCTTAGTCCAAACGTCTAACTTTTCGTGAGACGAACCAAACTCTCATTTGGGTCGAGCTAAATTAAGAGCGTCTGTTGGGTCAGACTGGAACTAATAACGACACGTCGAACCAATCAACGGATTGAATCAGACAAAAAAGCAATTTTAGCCGGCTAGTACTAAATTTTCGTCCGAAAGAGGCTAAATATACATTATAATACAAATTTTTGGTTTATTTGTTTATTTGGTAGCGGGTAAAGACCGACGTTTGCCCGGAGACGATTTTGAGACATTCTATCCGTCTGAAGCAGACGGATAGAACGTGTTGGACGAACCAAACTCATTCAGACGAACTTGACTGGGCCAGACGTCGAAATTTTCATGAACTTTGCTCACTAAGTTTGGTTCTTCTCATGAATGTTCGACGTTTGGCGTAGTCGGTCCTGATATAATGGGCAGTCTTTCCTGCTATGTTTGTCCCCCAATTTTGGTGCGGCACACGTTCTAAAAAAAACTACCAAGTGTACCATGTTCGTTTCTTCCTAAAACGAGCATGTTCAGCAACGTTTTCCTTGAAGCATTTTCTAGGAAAATCAAATTCTACTTTTCGCAACGATTATTGAAAGGCTAGAGCGTTCCATGTAACCTGTCACGCACCAAGGCAAAAAAAAAACAGGCTAGACAACATGAGACTGTAAACAGTCTGAAAGGAACATGAAACCCTATCCCCATTTGATCTAAACTTTGTCGTTGCCTTTTGCAGATTGCAACATGAACTGCCACAAAAGATGTGAATCCGTCGTCCCAAATCTCTGTGGAATAAACCAAAAGTTGCTTGCAGAGGCTGTTGCTCAATCTAAGGTAAGCATCACGTTCGATTTAGGCGCTGTTTACACCGAAAAAAAATGTGTCCAAAGGTCAACGTTCACACGTACATTGTGACCGTCCACACAAGGCCATCTATGGCTTTGAGTAGTCGCGGAAAGAGTTTGAAAGGATGCAAATTGAGTTTTTCACTGATTTTTCCATTTGTGTCACCCTCCCTACTGTAACTTACAGTCCAGCTTTTCAAATACAATTGAATTTTCCCGGGATTGAATTCTAAAGACCGAGAAAAAGAAATTTACCGTCTTGTGTTTGTGTCCTCCAAAAAATGTTGCGTCACGAAGTTTTACATCCTAACTGCTCAGTGACGGCAAAGTTCGTTACTGACCAATTTTTTCTCCTGGCCCCAATAATAATCCCAGAAGTCTTTGCGAAAGTTAAGTCGGCCCAGTTTCTTGCTCGTGTCTAAAGTGGCGCGCGCAGCGCACGAAGTTTGGGTACTAACCCGGTTTTATTTGTCTCTGTCAGGATGACATCAGAAAGCGTAAAATCAGCCAAGAACAGAAACCGGGTGGGTCAAAAGGCAAGAGTTCCCCAACCTCAAGAAAAGACGAAGATAGCGACGATGATGATGTTGGCGTGTATGAAGCTCTCTGGGACGCTATCTCTCCTCCTCTTCCGCAACGAACTTCCAGCATCGCTGGCAAAGACGTCAGAAGGATTGAACAGAAAATCCACCATATTGACGACTTTAACCTCCTGAAGGTTTTGGGAAAAGGCAGTTTTGGAAAGGTATTGTGTCCAAACAGTTGCCCTTTTTCGCTTTTCCTTTTCTCGAGGGTGAATAAATGGCGTGGGTCTGTGGATTGTGGTTCGTGCGTCGTGCGTCGCGTACAGGTCGTGCGGCTTGCTTGTTAAAGATAAACAAGCAAGTATACCTTTCCTCAAATCTTAATAAATCGCTTTTCCCTGGGCACAGAAAGCCGGAGACTGTTACAGCTGTTTTTATTTGAGGTCTCGACGCGATGGGCAAGTGCGCGAAAAACCGCCGAAATTTGATGCGTCCTCATTTATCAGTTATAGACTTTAGAATGAAGATGCTTTGATTTAATTATTTTTAAAATTTGTCGACAGGTTTTGCTTTGCGAGTTGAAGGAGACAAAGCAAGCTTTTGCCATCAAGGCACTGAAAAAAGATGTCGTGTTAGAAGATGATGATGTGGAGTGTACGATGGTGGAACGAAGAATCCTGGCTTTAGCCACAAGACATCCCTTCCTAACTCATCTTCATTCTGCCTTTCAGTCCCAGGTATTAGAGAGAGAGAGGAATTTCGGTCGTTTCGCCTACGTGTAGAGTCTATTCGCCCGCGTCTAGAGTCGATTAGCCTGCGTCTAATATGTCTACCATGAAAGGGCTTTAGATTCTGAGGCGAGGACGTCTACGAGAACTAGATTTTCGCAATATTAAGTTGTGCGCGCGCGCGAACCAACGTAATTTTAGCTGGGAAATATGTTAGCCGTGGTCAGTCAACTACGAGTTTTAACGAGAATGTCGTAGTGGCGAAAACAAGTGATCAAATGTTAGAAATTTTAATCATTTAGCGATCAGGAGAGGGTTTTACCTCCTTCAACGGAAACAAGCGTGCTAACTTTTGTGGTGAAAAAAAGTACAATGAAGCTTTCCGGGGTGTCTATTTGTAGAGAATAGGCGAGAAAGCTGAAAATTCAATCGTAGTCGTCCTCGCACTCGAATCTAAAGCTCTCTATTAGCAACGACGACGATGACAGCAACGAGAACGTCTAAAAGCGATAGGTTTGGGCCGGAAACTTTGTTCACACGGGACCGTTCAACATTTGCGCTCTGTTCACACGGAATTTTGAACGGCTAGGCGTCAGAGGACGTAAACAAGGACGTAGATACGCTAACGCTTAGCTCTCAATTCTTGGTTTGCAACCACGTGACAAGGCGGTCATGTTGGGGTTCAATGTAATAGAATTTTTTTCTCGAAGAATCTACATGAAAATAGAGTTTAGTTCCCAGAGGAGAGAAATGCTTTTGTTCTTGACCGCCAACATTGCCGCCGTGACTTCACATGCAAACCAGCAATTGATTCACTGTTTGATTGATGGATGGATGTATCGATCGACTAATTAATTGATTGGCTGACTGACTGACCGACTGACTGATTGATTGACAGATTGACGGACTGGTTGGTTGGTTGGTTGATTGATTGATTGATTGATTGATTGATTGATTGATTGATTGATTGATTGGCAGGATCACCTGTTTTTCGTCATGGAGTACCTTGGAGGCGGTGATCTTATGTTCCATATACAGTCAGTCGGCAAATTTGACGAACCACGATCCAGGTACGTGACTGCATTGATTTTGTTGAAACGACGACGCTTATGAGCCCTTAGGCTTTCTAACTGTCTTACTGGATGAGATTCCATTCTTCCGCAATTCAAAACAACACCTACTGACCAGTAGTTTTCTGTATCATCGGCTAATTATTTTACATTTTCCTCCCACAGATTCTATGCAGCTGAAATTGTTTGCGGTTTGGAGTTTTTACACGATCGAGGAATTATTTACAGGTTTGTTTTAATGGACGTGATAGATAGAGGAATTTTTTAACTGAATATTGTGACAGCAAATCCCAAGAGATGTTGATGATCCAACTAACCAATCAGATCTCTAGAAAAAGAGCGAGAAATCGCTTCGCGGTTGGTTTTGGTTTAATTTGTGGTTTTTAGCCTTATTTCTAAAATAGTCTATATTTTCTTCGTTGTTGAATATGGAACAAACCCGACACTGCCTCGTACCCAGACGTCTCTCTTTAAACGTGCGCGCAAAGGAAGGCGGGAAGGAGATAACGGGCGAGACGTCTGGCAGATCTTGTTTTCAAGATGGCGGGAAGAGTAATGGCGGACAAACATGCAATTTTTAAAATAAGTTCACCCCTGTGCATTTTGCGAATTTTGAGCGAATCATTGCCTATCCACGTCGTGTTTATGAAGAGGAAGCTGTTTTCACCCCACACATTGGACATTGGATTTGACATAATGTTTACTACCGAACTTTAAATCGAAAAACTACTAGCCGCGGACGGGACAGTACTGCCTTTAATTTTCATGAAATTCCGCACGCCAAGGTAACAGCCGGTCAGGAAATTTAGTAAGTTAGTAATCGTTTCTGTTAAGGTCCCTAGTGATGAAACGATCTCTTTAGTCGAAGTGAAAACATGATGGCGAGCTGAGAATTGTGAGAATTGTTGCAACAGCCAAATGAAGCCAAATATTTTGTAAAGCTTTAATACTATTTGCTGCACGCTGCATCTTGAGTACTCGAAAAGGGAACAAACCAGTCTGACTAGTCTCAAGACGTCTAAGTTATGTTATTAAATAGATAATAAATCTGCTAAATTTTTGTCTCAGGATTTCGCATTGTGTATCATTTGCACGACAATGTAAGCTTATGTACTTACAGGAAAAACAGCCACAAAACTAGCTCTAGGCTTTTTTTAACTTGCATTTTTTTATTGTTCGATTACCACTGGGTACTAGACTTGTCGCTGAATGCACAGCCTGGTGTAAATAAATCCTACTTACTTTTTATTTATATGCCTGGTCTCTATTGTTTTCTATTTGTTTTTGTGATATTGCACAGTAGACCAATTTAGTTTTGCCATGCTCTTTTATAGCACATCACGTGTGTCTTAAATTATTGGTAACTTTGATTTTAAGATGATAGACAATTTTGTTACCCTGATGGAAGAGGGCGATGTGGTTGATGAGATACCACCGTAACTACCATTTAGCCAGACAGGAGACATAGCCCTAGACACTTTTTAAAAAAATAATTGTGTTTGAATATTTCAAATTTCATAGCAAACAAGATGCTGTGAATGCCATTTTAGAGAATAATGATTGCATTGTCCTAATGCCAACTGGTGGTAGGAAAGACTGAGTATTATGAAGTTCTTGGGATCATTCTACCCAGATTCAACATTGTTGTTCCTGTGATTGCTTATACATGGTTCCTTTCTTGGCAAACCTGTGGTAGCATAAAATTCCCCTCACAAGTCTTCTGAAGGGGTAGTTTTTGACCTGCTTTGGAGTTGTAGAGGAATACAAGATCATATCATAATTATCAATGGACCCAGAATTGCCAAATGCAAAAAACATTAACATAAGTATAGATGGTTCTGCAGAACTACTAACCCCCAACCCCCTTCCTAGAAATTTTAACTACAAAATTATAATCAAGATACAAGCATCGAATGGAAAGAACAGGAAAAACAGGCCCCTGGACAAACTGGAAGAATATGCAGTAAAAAACACTACTTCACTATTAGTAGGCTGATGTCAGGTCCATTAACAGTGTCAAGTGGTGAAAAATGCCAGCTGTTTTAAGTATGGACCAGAAGCTCAGCCATGCAAAACCCTCACCCCTTTCCATTGCTTCCACCTCACCCAGAGAAATAGAAAATATTGCTCCTATTCCTTAAATTAGTGTCACTGGACATTGAAATGATGTATGCTTTATGAACTTCTGCCAAGATTATTGAACTGAGATGTGCTCAGGTAATTGAACTATGGTCAGCAAAAGAGAAAAGCTGCACCCCTAATCAAACTTAAACTCGATCTAGCTGTCTTACCCAAAGTAATAAAATACTTTGCTCCGGCTATAATTCCTTCGTTTTGGACAATGGAAATTGGGTTGATGTGTGTTTTTTGAACTAATGCTGTGACAAAAGCATGTGTACAGTTGCCCCTTCCTCTGTACATGGGTTACTGAGATTATTGAATGGGCATGTTGTCATTGAACTGAATTCTGTTAAAAAAGGGTTAAGCCCATTCCCCTTCTTTTACATTTGTGTGTCCCAATAACTACACATTGAGACTATAGACCTGGAGTTTGAGTGAGATGTAGTAGTGTGGTCATTGAATCATTGTGTTTTAACTGAACAAAATACTTTATTCAACCTTTATTCAAGTCTTGCAATAGGGGTGCCATCATGCCAGACATCTAGCTAAATAAAATTAGTAGTGTAACAATTAATCAAATTCTCGATTAATTGTGATTATGACCGTTCAGTTCAATTCAGGATTGTTTGCTTCCATGTTGCGAGTTTGGTTCGACTTTTGCACACCTTTTCCAGGGTGCCCTAAGTGAGTTATTACATTCTAAAATAAGAATCCAGAACTCTTTAATGTGCGTTTTTGATTGATGAGCAAAGACAATAGTAGTTTGTGCGCCATTTTGCGTTGCCTGGTAAAAATGTTGTATTTGGAAATTCTCAAGGGAAGGTTGAAGGAAGGCAATTAACCATGTGCGACACACTCTTTGTCAGGTTCTGAAACATGGCGACGAACAAAGCAACTGTGATTCCTACTGTCCCTGTTACTATTCTTATATTGAGGGTTTAGGGTTGCATGCTGTTTACATTATGCGTTATGTATAAGAATTAAGAAACATTTACATAATCGAATCGAAATCATAGAAAGGCAATAATCGAAATCGAATCGCAAGGAATATGAATCGTTACACCCGTAAATAAAATGAAATAAAGTTAAAACTAATGATAGCAATAACAAAATCTCCTACAAAAGATAAAATCGATAAAAATATTATAGCATTATTTATTGTACAATATAACAAAATACTAAAAAAATTAAGCTAGAAAAGACTGCCTTTACAGCTGGAGATTTTCGTCTCCCTCATCAAGATTGACAGAGGTAGTCCAGAATGATGGATTGATCAATGCTGGCACCTTCCTTCTCTTCAACACCTTCCCTGATCCGAAAATAAAGTTCATTACTAATCTCTCGAGAATCTAGGGATCTTATACCGAGAGTCAGGTAATTGTAAGCTTCAACAAGTTAAGCATTTTTATTTATTTTGTCAAAAGCATCAACTTAAATGTATCCATCTGTCGGTGGTTTCATAGTTAGTAACGTCGCAGACTTAAATCTTGGTGTAAGGACATAATGTGGTCTTGATAATCAACTCCTGACCTTGCACAATCTAGCTAGGCCTTGCAGTTCTTTCAAAGGTTACTTGCTCGTTGTTCGGTGGATTTGACCTAAAAGAGCGAAAAATAGAAACATGGTCGCCTACGCTGTACTTTACTAATCCGGATTCTGCAATAAACGACAAGTTAAATACTAAAATATAAGGCTTACCCGATACCGTCAAGTCATCAAATATTTTGTTAGAGGTCTTCGATTCGTAAGAATCCGACTCCTTTGCAGCCTATCGATTATTTCTACCTCAGGTTTTGGAAATTTTGAGACATTTACCTGTCTACTCAAAGTTTACAATGTTTACAACAATATGCTACTAAAATTGATCGCTTCCAAGACTTAAAAAGACCAAAAATTGGGCCGTGCCAAGAAAACGACTTTTTTGCCAAGAAAACGACACAAGATTCGACACAAGATCTGGCAGGCGCTTCGCCTGCCGTCTGTACCCTTCCCATGGTCCCCTGCGGTTCATCACCAGTCACTCGTTTCGCGCTCGCCTCTGCCATGCGAAAAACGAAGCGCCTGAGGAGGAGGCTGAACCCGACACGTATGTTTAATAAACTGAGCCCGGAAACTTGAGAACAAATCAAATAAGCGACAATACAGTTGCTTTGGGTATCCCCATCCCACAATAATGAACCCTCTGAAGGTCTCTGGTGGCTTTAAGCTCATCCACGGTTAAATCTGCTCTCCCCTTACAGAGATTTAAAACTTGACAATGTTCTGCTGGATTCAGACGGCCACATAAAACTAGCCGACTTTGGTATGTGCAAGGAAGGTATTCTAGACTCCAAGAAAGCGTCAACATTCTGTGGGACACCTGATTACATTGCACCAGAGGTATGCCGACAAAATTTTTCGCTTTACGCACTTTTCTTTTTATAAGAATATCAAGGCTGGAATTTGCGAAATTTTAAGAATATTTTAAGAATAAACCCGAGATGGATATTTTGAATAGGATTTAATTTTGTTTGGAAAATGTGTACAATACAATTGTATGTTTTTAACTTGACCGTATAACTGTAATTGATACGTCCCAATACATTAAAAACGGATTCCGAAATGTCATAAGCCATAATTTAAGAATTATAATACAGTAATATTTTCAGCCTAATGTCGGTGGGAAAATAAGAATGTTCAGCCTGGACCGGAAAAACAACGGCTGTTAAGGCGTAAGCACTGTTCTGTTAAAATTCACTTGCGTACGTTTGTATATGTTTCAGATTTTAAAGGGATGGAAATATGACTCGGCAGCTGATTGGTGGTCCTTTGGTGTTCTTGTATACGAGATGCTGATTGGCCAGGTATGATCACATGGTCTTAATAAGCTATTCACAAGTACCTTAATGCCGCTGACAGTAATGCCAACCTGAAAAGGAGCTCTTAAATTATGAGAAAGAGAAATGAACAGCAAAGATCTCCCGTGTGCCTAACAGTTACTGAGCTCTTGACAATATTCCCTTAGAGCTTGCATTTTGTTAATAATACGAAACTGCAACTTAAATGTGATAAAAATTGTGGACAAGGACGCTAAAGTAACTGTTCGGTTTTATAGTGTCCCCCAAGCATTGTATTAAACGTTAAAAACATCAAGAATGAACTTTGAAAAACTGTTAGGCTAACAAGTTTTCAAAAACCACAATTGCAGTCAGTCCGTTCCAATCTTCTTCAAGTTCTTCTATTCGTGCCTTCTTTTGTATTTTGCTGTTATTTACACCCTCTTTTTCATGTTTTAAGCAGTTACTTCGATGTTTCATACAATTTGCTGCCAGTTCGCGCTGTTTGAATTTTGATAAATTTCCCGACTCAGCTCTTTTAACTTTTCATGACTCGTGTTGTTCGTTGTATTTTGTTTTCTCTAGTCTCCTTTCGCCGGTGAAGATGAAGAAGATTTGTTCGATTCCATCTGCCGCGACAAAGTTCATTATCCAAAATGGATATCAAGCTCCGCGGAAGACGTGTTGAGCCAGGTAGGTACAAAACCTCAAGACTGCGTGACATACTAGACTGTTAGCGTGACCTGATATACAAGGCGTGTTTGCAGTTTATTGACAACTTTCAGTTATTAACGGCGCTTCAAGCGACGCAGCACACGGAAATGCGTTAAATATAAAATGTGGGAATGACTGTGACTTCTTCTCCACGAAACCAGTGCGTTTGGACAAAACACGGACGAGTATGGCGTTGCCTTTTGTCAGATAATTTACGCACGTTGTAAAACGCGCTGGGAAAATGCATTTGGGGTACCCAGTAGTCGCTTAATCAGCCCACCGCACTTTGAATCGCTACCTGGCTCTGTTAAATTCAAAAAGGTTGGAACCGAGAGAGAGAAAAATGTGAGGCAGCATTATCTTTGGTTCAGACAGCAGAGTGCAATGAAAGGACTTCCTAAAGATCTCGCTCGGAGTTTTGGCGTAAATGTTAAGCAGCCCTAGAAAACCAAACAGGCAGTCGAGGTTAAAGAAAATCGCTCTGCAAGTGTAACTTAAAGTAATCGCTTTACTCAGAATCAGTTTCCTTTTTATCTGCAGTTGTTTGAAAGAGCTCCAGTAGAAAGGCTAGGCTACAGAAATGGCACAAATCCCAACATCCGCAACCACAAGTTTTTCGACCGCATCAACTGGACAAAGCTAGAACAGAGGAAGATAGACCCTCCATTTAAACCGTCAGTGGTAAGTGAATTTCTACACTAAGCCCAGTTCAAATGTCTATCTCTTTAAGTACTGAACCTAAACCCTTCAAAACAAATTGAGAAGATCAGCGTTTGAATCAACAAGCCATGTCCGAGTTTCCGAGAGCTACGTGCAAAACAATGTTGGCAGTTGTTGCGTCCCTTTGCACGTAGTTAAAAGTTTGACCGGTTTCGAACTTTGCGCAACAACTCTTAACAGCAGACAACATGGAAATACGTTATCTAAACCCCTAGAACTGGCTTCGGAGAAGATTGACACCTCTTTTGAGCGAAGTGTTTTCTTTTCCTCCTTTCTTAGGCGTCGGATCACGACACCAAGAACTTTGATCCTGACTTTACTATGGACGTGCCGCAGTTTACGCCAACCGACAAAGATTTGCTTCAGTCTATGGATCAGGGACAATTCAAAGGATTTTCGTTTGTTAACCCATACTTTGGCGTACAGCAGTGAGTTGGTACTTGTTCTGAACACTGTAAATGTCTGTACTTTTTTTTCCAAGTGCTGTTTTCCATGTGATCGCTGAAATCGCGTGGAGTGACGTATCATCAGTCTCGGGCCGCTGTGGGATGTACTAAAAAGCTGGACAAAATATCTATCCCAAGGCCTCAATTGATCAAAGAGATGATTCAAAGATAGAGCCCCTTACTGGATTGGAAATAGGCTATATGGAGCATGTTTCATCATAGCCTTATTGGAAGATTATGGACGTTTTCAAATATCTACTACCACGACCCTCTACAAGTAGACTTTTTCCCATGTTAACATCGGGCCACTTTGTTGACAAATACACTTTCATGCTGTAAAGGTGAAAAGAGAGGACTGATGCGATAAAGTATGAATTTGAAATGGCCTTTTTCACAAACGATGTTTGGTGATAAAGTTAACAAGTCTGGATATGTGGGGGGTTAGGGATGGCGAAAGTCTATCCAATAGAAATAGAAATTCTCTTAACATTTAAGATTTTGGTAAATTCGATTATATTATGCACACGAACTTAAGGGCTGTTAAGTTATTAATCAACTACATCCCAATATTCTGTATTGATTTTCTCCTTACTTGCCTGCGGTGTAATTCATTAATATTGTAGGGAGAATTAAGATTATAATTTAGAGACAACGGGTCAAAAGACCCAAAGTAATCGACTGAGGTAGACATATTGTTTGTTTTACCACTTTCCCCGTAAGAATGGTAGTACATATTATTTGCTGATTCGTTTTTATTTGTATGTTTTTCGTATTTTCTCACTTTTATGTCGGGTAGGAACTCAGAAGGAAATTATTCCTTCTCGAAGGATGTCTTACTTTTTATCTGTACATATAAATTATTTCCACGAAGTTCGCAGTTTGAAGGTGAGAATAAACATGATGACAGTATTGTGGTTGTTGCTATTGTTGTCTGTTTTTGTTTTTGTTTTTTGTTTTTTTTTGTCCTTAACCACTCCCTCCAGCGCAAAAGCCAAAAAACCCTGCATTCTTCAGAAAAACTGCGTAAGTTAGAGTCCCTTAGTACTTAAAGTACCGCATATTTTAGATCCCAGTCTTTAATAACTCTCCCCCCTTTCGATTAGTTCCCGAATCTGATTTGCCTAAAATTAAATATACCTCTAGTCTCTATTTATCCCTACGTATGTATTAAATTCTGATAGGGAAGACGGTTGAGATTTTTGAAATATAAGTGATTTGACTGAATCAATTTGACGAGGCACTTCCCAGACGAAAAACTGGTAGATTGGTGGTAGATGACATAACTGCGTGCTTACAAGCTCTTTTTCCATTTCATTCTATATCCTTTTCCGCGCTCCGCGCGCTTTAGTTTGTTTTTTCCCGGTTAACCTCTCGTAGCCTACAACTGACTCAAAAAAGGCGTCTTCGGAGTGGAAACTACCGTGTTGCATGAAAATTTTGCGGGTTGGCAATTTTTTGTGGTTTGCGGGAACAAATTTTTTCGGTTCGAGATGACTGAAATTTCTGGTGGGAACTAATTCTTGCGATTCTCTGTTCAAGTAGCAGAATATTTAAGTGGAAGAAACCTTAATATGGTATTTGCAACTTTTATTTTACGGTATGTTGAGTCAAAGTTCACTCTAATTACATATTTAATGGGGAATAATACGGCGAGTGAATCACTGTAATATCTTACTGCACAAAGGGACTGAACAACAGCAAAACAAAACAAAAGCCTATCCCTACCATACACAACAAAACACTCTTTCGTTAATACTGAAGGGAGTTAATTTTTGCGGCGTTTTATTTTGCGGTTTTTTTTCTCCGGGAAGTAATTTTTGAGGATCGAGGTCAATCCGCAAAATTTGCAAAAATTAGAACCCGCAAAATTTTCATGCTACACAGTAAGACATAAGAGAGATCGAGAGGAGATTCACGGTGCACGAGAGATATCGCGCTTTTTGCCACGCTTATAACTTTTCCAAACTACGATATCCAACCGCGGATTTGAGTAGTGCGCTTTAAACGAAGAAAAACATTTTATTTTAGTAAAATTCTGTGAAGCACATTTTTTAGTAGTCAAAACGTTACCTTATAAGCATGACGCTTATACATAATAATTTTATGCAAGACAGCATACTTGCTATTAAGAAAACAAGTACGAAAACAAATCGATCATTTTGATGATTAAACACACCATATAGCATATTTTAAGTTGTAGTGGTGAACTAATCGATATATATTCGGCCGATTGATGAGTGGTTTCACGAACAGAAATTCGGAAATGGCAAACATTTCAAAATAAAAACATTCAAATTCCCGGGAACATAACGCGCGAGGAATACGTAATCGCGCAGTGTTAAGTTATCCGCCGAGATTTTTTGGTGTTAAACATGTCTGGATTTACAGTGGAAAAGCATTACGGCGAGTGGATGCTATCGCGTTGGTATGACAACATCCCTGGCCCAGACCGACTGGTTGAAATTTCCACTTCTTTAAGTGAGCAAGAAGCTTTTGATCTGGTAAACGCATGGTCTAAGAAGCTTTTGACTCCTGGGCTCGACCCAGAGAGACTCAACAACATCACCGAATCATTGATTTCAAGTCACTGGAATCAAGCTTGTAGGATGGGTTGCCTTGCAGTACAGTTTACGTACATCAATGGCTTTTATCATCGCTTTGTGTGGCGGGTGGCGTAACTTGAAAAGTTTGATTTCCAGAGACTCTCTCCTAGCCATATCTGTTGATTTTATAGAACGCGTTGATTAACATTTTTGATTGGAACGTTGCATAAGAACGGCTTCGTTTGAAAAACCCATTTGGCGGACGGCCTTTATGATGCCATTTTGTCTCGCGTAGAGATTAAGGATTTTGTAATCACTATTTGTATCAAACATTTTGTTTCTTGATAATCAACCCTCAAGAAGACGATTTCTCTTGGTGTAGGCTGTCCCTGGACTATCAGCATGCCTGTTTTATTATACCAAAGAAATGAGCATCGCGGATTCTTTAGTTTTCTTTACTGAATCGTGATCAACTCGAAGGGATGTGGGAATGTAAGGTAAAAGCTGGTAAGGCATCAAGCGCACACAGCTACGAAGAGAGAACCCTTCCGAAGCTTTATCGAAGGTCGCGCACTAACTAACTGTGCCGCCTTTGCTCCTAAACATTACATCTCTTTTTCATTTATAATATCTTAACTTTACACTGAAACTCGTTTTTCAATATTCAAACCTTGAGTACCACCATTTGAAAGTTTAATTCAAGTTGCTTCCCTGATAATCAAAACTTACAGTGGCCTCATCGTTAAGACAAAAAGACCTGGAATAACGTCGTGTTATTGGCTATACTGCAATGTAACTTTGCACGAATAGACACCTTTTACTTCATACATAACATACATGTACTGTTTTTCATTCTAACCGGCCTTTAGAAGCCGGCGTCTCAGGCCTTTAAACTATCATGTAAATGCATCCTTCTATTGTGATTGTTAGTGACAGCGGAATGTTCTTTAAACAAATTAATCTTTGTATCAATATAAAAGCAAAATAAACATGGCATTCAAGAATACTAAAACAATAAAATACAATACCGCTAACCCAAGCACCGTAAGGTAGAACTACCCAGAACTACCATTTGTTTGTTTGTTTGTTTTTATTACTTGTCTTTCCAGTAAAAAATGTGAAACGTCCGCATCCATGATTGCTTGAAAAAGGCTTATGACGTCTTTCTAACCAAACAGCAAGCATATCAGAAATAACCAAAACCAGGAGCTGATAAGTAATCGGCTCCTGCCAAAACGCAACAAATGAAACTGGGTCTGAAACAATGGAAAGGCGTGAAAAATTGAAAATTAATTGAAAATTAATTGAAAAACAAAACATCACAGTGACTGATTCGCCCAAGCATGTAAGAAAATCCGGGTTCCGGAATCCGGGGAATCTCCAGAATCCGGGAAATTCTTTCTTTTGGAATAGGAGAATACGGGGCGTTGGAATCCGGAATACAGTTCAAGGGATTCCGAATCCTGCTAACGATTGGCAACCGGAATTGTTAAAGTTCACAAAATTAAGAAGCCAGTTGGATTGCCTTATCATGTGCCACTATCTTGCTTGTAAAAGTTGTGTCAACAAGTACCAGCTGAAGTGCTAACAGCTCCACTTGCCTGAGTTGTGCCTTTCATTCCTCGCTGTCAAGACGAACACCTGCTAGCCTGTGTACAAACGTCCCCTCCTCCCTCGGGAAAAAATCGGGAGAGGAGACGACGTCTCCTCTCCCGATTTTTGCCTGAGAACGGAGGCGACGTCTGTACACAGGCTAAACATCTGCAGTCTAAAACGCCAAAGAGTTGTTCACTGCAGCAGTTTAGCTTGTTTTGTTTTGTTTTTTTTTTGTTTTCTTGACTAACCAAAGCGATTTTCTCTCTTAGACGCACGGTCGCGTCGAACTCAGCTCGCAAGATGACCATGATACAGCTCCTTGCTCGATAGAGAGGACACGTCGTTGCCATGGTAATAAAAATTTTGGATCTCAACAAAGCCCGGTCCTGCAAATTTGACAGGAAAAAACGAACATGCATGTATGGTATGAAATGTACAACTTTCCTGCGCATTATTGCGTGATCTTCCATCGTTCGGTAATGCAAATGGCTGTCTCTGTCAAGAAGAATTGTTGAGATCCAGAAATTTGGCTACCATGGTAACGTGACGTTACACTTCTCAACTCTATCTCGTCCCCAAGGCTTTTCCGTTAGAAAATGCTCCTTGCACAACTGCAGTCAATTTACAAAAAAAAGAAAGAGACAACAGGTGCGATTTCTGTCTGTAAATTTTATTTGAAACATTAGCGCATTCGGTTCTCTTGCACTTCATAATAATTGCTGCCCTTTGTAATGCTTGTCAGCCACTCGTCCAGAAAAGAGATTTTGTTTCGTCGGAATAATTGATTTATACTTTGTAATAAAACTTTCGAATTTCGTGAATTAAGTATAACTGTCACACTTTGTAATCAGATAACCCATTCGTCCTTGGTAAAACAATAAACTGTCATGCTTTAGTAATAATCGACAATAAACTTTCAAAAGGGCGGCAATACTTTCCTTACATCTCTGCGTTACGTGGCATATTGATCAAAGTTTTTTTTTTACATTTAAGCATGTAGTAACCGGGCGACCTTACTGTTTGGAATGATACTTTTTAAATTAGCGACTTGAAAATAAATTATGGCGATCTATCTTCATCTAAACGACGGGTTATTTTTTCTTTCAACATCCCTTATTTTTGTCATATTTTTAATAACAACAACAAGAGAATGTATACTTTGTTTAGCAAATAAAGCGACTGTCACAGCAACAATCTCTCGGTATGGACTTTAATATACTCCCCTACTAAAATGAGATTAAAAAGTCAACAGTGTTCGATCAGTTATACCGCGCTTTAATTAAAAAGGAACCGTTCTGTTTGAAGTCTAACAGACAACTAACCAGTCACCGAAAGTTCATTGAGCCTAATTGAGGACAGATTTGAAAGAAACTGACCAATAAAGAATAACTTGTCCTACTTGTTCTGACTTCCTGATGTAAAATCAATGAGCTTTCAATTAGTTTTTGCTCAACATGCGTCACTCTTTCTAAATTTCTCTTCATAACTCTAAATTTCCGAATAATATCACCTTCTTTTGCAGAGTATTCGCGGAGTATCGGCAAAAGCTCGACGAGTGACAGAGTCAAATAAGACGATCTATATAGTCTCTTGTATACAGGAAAGCAAAAAACAAAAGCAAAAATAAGGTATGTGTTTCTCGATCTTTGTAAGTGGTCGTGCATGTGTTTTTGCCAGATCGAAGCTCGAGATATAAAATTTCAGGGGCACACAACGACTGTTTTCTTTACAATATCTGTTCGGAGAAGCAGATATTGCCTAGAATTTTCTGTTTCCTGAGGACGGCTAGATAAGGCCGTTTCCTTCATGTACAATTTCCGAAGCTTATCTAGTAAATTCCCCACGATTTTCGCATTTTAGTTCCAAAGTTAGGCTATTTTTCGTAGAAAAAGGAAACTTAAAATTTTTGGATTGAAAAATGTGATGGAAAGAGGAATTAGAAAATGTCTCACTTTCGTCAGTAATACGTCAAATTTCATCTAAAATTTTCGGGAAAATAAAACTCGAGCCCTTGTAACTTTCAAAAAGGCTCAAGTTCCCCAGGATGACCGAACAGATACAAATTTTACAGCGCCGCTTAGCTAGAATGCTTTTCTAGAGATCTAAAAGTACTCTGGATAGCCTTAAAAGTGTTTTCAATGTATTTAGAACGAAACCGTTGTTGGGTGCCCCTGACATTTATTTCAAATTAATAATAATGAAAAAGAAATCAGTACTGGATCTTTGCCTTCCATAGATTGCATGGTCCTAATTTATTGCATTTTGTATCTTTCACATAGGCTATACAACTGCTTTGCGCATTACATCAACCGAAGTTACTCATTGGTTCCCATTTACTTGAAATTTCCCGGTTTTTGCAAAAATGAAATCTCTTCCAGAGAACAGCATAATAAACAGGGCGCAAAGAGAATGTCTCATTATACGAGGCTTTTATTTCAAATGAATGGTTCGGTGCTTTCTAGGCCGGGGGTATTTGCACTGTCGCAATTTGTAATAATCATCGCACTTTGTAATACCTGTCGTAATTTGTAATAAATTCATCGCACTTTGTTATACCTGTCGTAATTTGTAATAAACCGTGTCGCACTTCATGTAATAAAAAAGCTGTCGCCATTTGTAATAACTGTCCATCTCACTTTGTAATAACTAAGCTGTCGCAATTTGTAATAATTCCATCGCACTTTTTAATAATTTTTTGAGAGTGATTCAACTTACTCTGTCAACATTAATATAATGCCAAAATATGAATGGTACTTCATAATAATATTAATATAAAATATTAATAATAAGAGTCTTTATTCATAGTTGGGTAGTCACAACATACGTGTGGCTTTACATACATGACAATGCAATCTATTTAAGATCAAGTACAATTAGATAAAATTAAATTTAAAAAAGACACCTATTACTAAAAGATCTCTCAAAGCGTTCTGTTTTAACATCAAGTAAAATAAAATCATGTCCTCTGTTTGGCAAAAATCTCTGTTTCTTAGGGGGTAATAGTTGGTAAAGGAGGTGATGGGAAGGAGTATCCGTGATAGTGTTCCATAGCTTACAGTCTCGATTTCTGATAACTTCAGCTATTGCATACACTCCAGGTTGTTGGTGGTGATCCGAATCTGAACGCTTGCTTAAAAAACTTGTCAATGCGATCAAGGTATTTACCTTGATATGCCGTTCCCCAAATCTCAATTCCGTACGAAAACAGGGACATAATTAAAAAATCAAATAATTTTGTCAGTTGTTCTTTAGGGTATTGTCAACGTGAAGGATGGTTTGCATGCAATGGTTACCCGGGGGGCGTTCTCCCTTATATGGCCAATACGGGGATGTGCCACTGGACATAGCATTGTCAGAGTACAGAATCTAGACACACAAGACACAACGAGCCATTATTAAAAGGCATTTAATTTCCACAAATTGAAACATCCATCTTTCCATCATTTGAATAAGGACACCAGGAAAGTTCAAGCTTTCCTTTTTAGATCTTATAACAGGTCGACACAACACCGTCCTTGTCTAACGCGCAATCTTAAAAGAAGTAATAGCTGTTTCCGTACTATGGAAAGCTTAATCAGACGAGGCCTGGAAAATTCAAAATGTTAACTGCAAATAAACAAAAACGTCATCAGTGGTAAATGGTCGAACCACAACAAAAACATAAACACAAAATCCAATTATGTATGTACCTGTTCTTTTATAAAACTCACTTTGGGTCATACACTGAGCCGGCTGGCCATTTGGTCCATTATTCTCTCACGATTTGGTCCCATATAGGAACAAAAAAAGTACTCATTCATATTAAAACAATTTTTTTCTGTGGAGCCCTCTAATGAAGCAAACACTGTGTGCATACAACTCACAAGACCTTGCAGTTCTTCCAAGCATGTTCAGGATTCAAACTTTTTTTCCACAAAATGGAAAGGATAATAATTCATATTTTGGCATTATGTTAATGTTGACGGAGTAAGTTGAATCACCCTCAAAAAATTATTACAAAGTGCGATGGAATTATTACAAATTGCGACAGCTTAGTTTATTACAAAGTGCGATGGACAGTTATTACAAATTGCGACAGCCTTTTTATTACAAAGTGCGACACGGTTTATTACAAATTGCGACAGGTATTACGAAGTGCGATGGATTTATTACAAATTGCGACAGGTATTACGAAGTGCCATGGATTTATTGCAAATTGCGACAGGTATTACGAAGTGCCATGGATTTATTGCAAATTGCGATAGGTATTACAAAGTGCGATGATTATTACAAATTGCGACAGTACAGTATTTCATTCGAATTTCAGACACCGAATCGAAGCTATTAAAGCGGTTCAGTCTAAAGCGAAGCCGAATTTAGGTATTTAGGTATTTTATTTATTTGCCACACGATTACAATAATTACAAAAAGATGCCAAAAAAAATTGTAGGAAGAGATGGCGAGGAGGCCTAAAAGAAACTATAGAGCTTATGTTAATTAGGCCTCCTCAATTACAATTTTTCAAAGATGGCATAAAAATTACGGCGACGGATACAATATAATATCAGGTGAAAAATTAAACTAATCAATATTACGGAAGTTTAAAATTGTTGAATATTAAAAGGCTTTTTCCCAAGATTTTTGTTGGAGTATACTAATAATTATTACAAATAAATGCCTCAAGTGCTCTTTTAAAGGAGGAAGGTTAGGAAGCGTTGATGATGTTGGTGTTTAAGGTGTTGTAAAATGTAGGTCCTTGATAAAAAACGGAAAACTGTTTGGTTCGAGTACGACAGAATTGTTTTAGTACATCGTTTTCGAGGTAATTGATCTTCGAAAAAGTTTCATATAAAGTTTCTCACTGAATATTGATTGCTCCTTGTTACAGCAAAAGGTCCTTTATAACTTAAGATTCATATCCATAGCTTCTTACCGGCAGATACTGATTTTGTGTTTTAGTCGTAATTGTTGAGTATGAGTGCCAACAAGATTTTAACGTCAGATTTACAACTAAAAAGAAAATGTAATACCTGTCATAAACTAGAATTTGGGAGATCATAATTTTCAAGCTGTATTTGAATTTGCGTTTTTTTTAGGAAATTGTTTGAACAAAGTTATTCTTTATTCAAATGTCATATGTACCATTCTTCTCGACCAGGAAACGGAGACATGCTGTTTTGGATTTTTCTGACTGTAATACACCTAATACTACCACAGAAAATCAGACTGAGCGCGGATCCAGTTATTCCAGGTAACGATTTCCTTTTTCCAAAAGGTTCGCCGCAAATGTCAATGTCTCCAATCTAGACCCCAATCTCGTACCCAGATCTCACTCTGTTTTCCCTTGGCCGTGGGAGATCTGGGTACGAGATTATCTAGACCCTTAAATTAAGTATTGCTGCATCAAGGCGGGTTTACGGCAACCGGGGCACTTGGAAGAGATCATCCAATCACAACGTTTTTTGAAAACAACAGATTCTCAAGTTTTGCGAGCGAACCAACAACATTTGTAAATTTGAGAGCTGTTTCCTGAGACGTCAGGTAATTTCAAATGGTTTTAAAGTTTTCAACGGTTGCGTAGCTGAAGCTTGAATTTTACTTGTCCTTTTTGCAAAAAAAAAAACCTTATGGTTGGATAATCTTCTTTCAAGTGCCCCAGTTCGAGTAGTCGCACTATAAGAGCGGGGTCATTGTTCGAGTTCTTTTGGTCTATAACTAGTAAACTTGGTTTCAAAGCTGCGCTTGCATTCGACCTTGACTCAATCTCATGATGAAAGGGCCGAGCTTTACAAACTAACCCAACAAGTAGAATAACAATAACAATACTAATAGTAATAATAATTGTCATTATTGACAGTAAGTATAGTGAAAAGGATAACAATAACGATAATAATAAATGATAAATAAATGATAAATGATATCGATGTATTTCAGACCGAGTTTGACTTACAATGGCAGCGTTCTTGCTAAACCTATCAAAACATCGTTTAAATAAACGTTCTTGTGATGAGGCCAAGTGTTCTCGCCTCAAAGTGTGTCGTGAGTCTAAACAGGAGCCCGTTATCTAAACTAGTTTTCAAGGGTAATTTGTAATCACATTAGAACCCCGGTCCGGTAACTCGAACTATGAAGAGAAAAAAAATACATTTCGAGTTAGCGGGGGCTCGAGTTATCGATACTCGGGATCAACTGGATTTTCAATTTGCTTATTTTTCAGCACTTCAGTGTGTAGTGTGTAAAGTACAGTGCAAATTTACTTATTTCATCAAATACAGAGACATGATTATGCACTGTTGTGAAAAAAAACGTGATCTTTTCTGTCCTTCCGAGTTCGAGTTCGAGTTCGAGTTAGCGAGGAATTCGAGTTATTCGAGTTCGTGTTGACCGAGTAAAATGGGGTGAAATACAAGGAAATAGGACTTAGTTGGAATAGCGGGGAGTTCGACTTATCTAGTTCTGTCAAAAGATCTGTTCTATCTTTTAACAATAGAATGTGTAGGATTCGATGGCTCTTTTGATGGTGATTGGTTAAACTGCAATGGATTTCCAGCCAACAAAACATGTACTAACGCCAAAGAATGCTGTAAACATACTCCAATGAATTACAGCTGTTTCAACACATCTAAACTTAAAGGTAAGTACATAATTCAGGGATCCATTAGGTGTTTTACAAAGTTTATCAAAATGTACGTTGGAAAGGTTCGAAAATCCAGACGTTTTGATCAAGGTGCTTCCTCTTCCTCATTTGTTTAAAGCAACTGGATTTTCGTACCTTTTCAACGGACAATTTGATAAACTTTGTAAAAATCAATCGATCTTCTGCGTTGCACAGTATCTTCCAATTCTTTATAACACTTCTCGAGCCATTAAGTGGTTTGAGCCATTAAGATTTGGTTTGGGATTATTTCAGTTGATACCTCATTATATCTTAGCGTTCCAGACTTGCGAGGCCGCGAGGCACCTCAATAAGCGGAAACGGAAATGAGAAAGAAGCGGGAGATTGAGGAGACAAAAGAAGAGAAAGAGATTCGCTGCTCTCCCTGACTCCCTTTCTATTTTTTTTTTCGTATTTTTTTTCTTTTCTATTTTTTGCTCTGCACCCCTCGCTCTTAACGCCTGGAACAGACAAAATATGGGGAGGGAGGAGAGGGAGGGGGAGGGAGGCACCCATATAAAAGGGGCTAAGATGCTGATGGCAAAATTGAACTCTCAAATGAAGACCCTTCTGGGGCTTAGGTTCTAAGGCTCTATTTGACCCCTTAGAGTTCCATACATTAACACTGTCGCTGCACTGTTTGACGGCGTTTAGTTTTTACCAGCGGCGGGGCAGAACAGTGTTGTCCCCTTTGTTCTGGTTGATCACAATGTTCCTCGCATAGGAATGCAGATTTGTGGATCTCTAGCTCTTGTGACAGCCACATGTATTTTTTTTCCTTACTGATTGTTTAGTTGTTGGAAAGTGGAAACAACCCATCCCAAAATCCATATCATTTCAAAGAACTGCCTCATCTTGCTCTCGGAATGATTTTCGGAACTTGCGAGACAATATTACAGACAAGGCTTTAGACAGTCAAGTTATTATTTGGCACAAGGTCATCACCGCTTTACAATGCAGCGACTACTGTTTGCGAGAGCCTGGCTGCTACGGTTTTAACCTAGAGACTATGAAAGAGAACAAAATTTGTGAACTGTTGGGATTTGGTAGCAACATTGTTGACAGACCAGGATTTAGCTACTGGATCTTCGATAGAGTGTCGTATGAAAAGGTAATATATAACTGGAAGCACCTTTTGATTCCTTATGTGTGATGATTTCGTTCTATCATCATTATAATTATCATTATTATTCATTCAAAATATTTTCCCGATTCTGATTGGCTAAAAGCGCACGTTTAATTCACCATTCACCAGTTACTGATGACGAAATTTGGAAGAATTTTTTTGTTTAACGAGGAAATGACGTCAAAAATGCAGCGTTTTCGCAGGTTAAGGCACCGTTAACTAAAAAGACCTGGGGACGAGGTTGAGTTGCTTTTATTGTAAACTTGAAAAATGGCGGACATTTCACTCGTTTCAAGAGTAAGAACTAGGCGAAAACATAGCTAAAAACATGGCAAGAACAGCAAGAAGACAACTCGAAGGGCGATATCTGCTATTTGGAGAATATTTGCAGAGCTGGACAAACCTAAACGTGCACTGTCGAAGATGAACTTTACATCGATAGATCGATGGAGGTTACCATGTTTTAGCCATGTTTTTAAAGTAGGAATTATTTTGAATGAATAATAAAACAATTATTGAATTCGGCTTTCGTATCATATGAAGAATTATGGAGATCTCGGAGGGTGTTATCCGCCTCGGTCTACGGCCTCGACGGATAACACCCTCCTCGATCTCCATAATTCTTCATAAGATACTCAGCCTCATTCATTAATTGTTAATTATCCCTCATTATCATTAACGTTATCATTATCGTCATCATGATCGTTATTGTTATCATTATTATTATTGTAATCGTGATCGTGATCGTGATCGTCATCATTATCGTTACCGTTACCGTTATTGTTATCAGTATTGTTATTGTAATCGTGATCGTGATCGTGATCGTCATCATGATCGTTATCGTTATCGTTATCGTTATCATTATCATTATCATTATCATTATCGTTATCGTTATCGTTATCGTTATCGTTACCGTTACCATTATTTTTATCATCATTATTATTGTAATCGTGATCGTGATCGTCATCATGATCGTTGTTGTTATCATTATTATTATCGTAATCGTGATCGTGATCGTGGTCGTCATCATAATCGTTATCGTTATCGTTATCGCCGACATTATCATTAGCCCTTCAATATAACCCCTACCTTGCAGGCTATTTAATTAATCCATAGTAAACTTTGTTGCAGGCTTACCTGTTGCCTTATTGTTCGTTCAACAAGGAAGGAAGTTAAAAAAAAAATTTGTAAAAGGAGCCTTAAGCCTTAAACAAAAAGCAGAATGCAAGAAGGACTGGGCTGATCAATTTTCGTCCTATAAAAATACTCTACCTAATGAAAGCGCTGCTAAAAATTCTTCATTTTAATGATGACTGTGTTGGACTTCGCTTATAACCTCAAAAAGAAAACTTCATTACAGGTCTCCATAACTGTCTCTGGGGAACCGCACATGGTCTCTAAGATAAAGCTGTTGCATGTTACACGAAGGACGTTATCTGCAACTTAGGCTAGACTTCCAGCCACTGTTCGAGAGGGGCGGAAGAATTAATTTGTGGCGAACAGAAGACAACGTTTTTCTTGTTATTTTTCTAAATTTGGATAAAGTATTTTAGAATTAAAATACTGAAAAAAATCGCCGACATTTGATAAACTGAACGAGCTGAAATACAGCAATAAACATTGTTTTGGACGAATGGATTACTGGAGACATGTGATACATCAACTGTAAGCGGCGATTTGAAATCCAGCACGGTAATAAGGAAATAGCTTCAAAAAGTTCATTGAATATTCCGCCTCTCGATCCTCGAATTTTCAGATTAGCAGGCTCTAACAAGAAGGTTCAAAGTAAAAACCTCACCCTCGTTCCCAGGAGTTCTCAACGATTTCGAAGGTGACGTCATCTGTCTAGCTTGTCGGGAAAATTCGCGCTCGGTTCCAAGCCTCCTCCCCTTACTCGGGTGGCGCGAACTGGCCTGGGGATGAGGTTGATAAAAAAAGGAGAAGTGTGACATCTCGTTACCATGTCAGCAAAATTTTTGGTTCACAAAAATATGGAGCTTCAGAAACGACGACGGCAACGAGAACAGCAAAAAAAATTCATTTTGGTTTACATTAGCAAAACAATAACTTTGCACGTGCATCACGCTTTTTTGTACATTTCTTAGCCGTCTTTGCACGACTGCGACATGACACTTCAAATTTCAAGAGCCCGCTTTATATGGAGTGGGTGAAAACACAAAAATTTTCTTCTTCTTTTCCTAAACTTAGATACGGTCCTTTCGCGATTCAACCCCAGTAATTTCGCCAACATTTGACAAATTAAATGAATTTGAATAAGATGAATGATGATGAAGTTTGAATTAGTGCGAATTCATTTTTTAAGTGACGTTTTAATTTCGGTTTGTTGTGATCCAGAAATGTTGCTAGCATGGTAGCGTGACGTCGGACTTTTCCTCTCTATTGCAAATATATTTATAGCTAAATACTAATCATGGCCTCAGAAAGGAAATATAGCAGGTGACCAAGAAGAGAGAGGTTGTAAATGCTGTCGTTTGGATGTCATATTACTCTTAATTATCTGAAATAAGCAAGCCAGTTTTCTGGTTGATGGGACAGAATAAGTTCAATTTTCAACACATGGCACTGATAAAAGCATAGTAGACTTGGAATAACTGTTGAATCAATTCATCGTTGAAGAAATTTAAGGGTTTTACAAACCTGTCCAAATAAAACTTCAGGACATTTAAGCTTTTCGTGTTTGTTTTCAGGATGCAACAAAAACCAATCCATTTGCACTATTTATTTTTCATTACTGGTGTTATCTACTTCCTATTCGAGTGCAAATTAAAAAAAGGAGAAACATTTAAATTTACAGTATTCCTTTGGAATATTAGGCAAAGTATAAGGATACGAACGTAACCACGGGAAAAAAGGTTTGTGGTTTTGTTTTCTGATGGAGAATTTTGATATGTTCTTTTGTAGTGGTTAAGAAATAACTTTTAATGCATTTTCTTTGATCGCGTCAGTAATTGTTTTCATAAATATTGGTTAAGTGGTTCGCCACCTTCCCTATGAATGAATCTTTTCAAATTATCTGTTCTTGTTCCGGGACTATTAATTACACTAAGAAGCAAAAACGTATATTACATCCTAATTTAAGCAGATTTGTTTCCCTTGCACGCACGCAATGAATTCCTCCTTGTTCCGGTGTTAACTAAAGTCAAGTTGACTTAGAAAATAGTAAAGTACTATTTTATCGAGGAGAACTACTCTTAAGTGTCTTTGTAAAGAGTTAGGCTTTAAGTGTGCAAATTGAAAGGAGCCTGCCAACTGAATTTCGTGCTCGACTTTAAGTTGTTAGATGAGAAAAATTTTCATAATCTTTATTATGGAAGTGGATCACCACACACTGGGTTTCCGAAAACGTGAGTATGGATTTAAGTTTTAAACAGTATTAGACAGTATCAGAGAAGTGACATTTAATTTGAGTTTAAACCATTCATTTTAAGTCCTTTTATTACTGCTCTGATAGAGAAACTGAGAAGCTAAGATTGTTTTAACCTTTAACAAATATATATTAAAACATTCCACATTATTTATTTCGTTTCTCTTTTAACAGGGGCACCCAACTAGAATATAGTTCAAAACCACTTACAACATAGCATTGTTAAACCTATTTTAGTATTTAAACGGTAGATATAGGCATATTTTTATCAGGCCCCTAATAATTTTTCATCTGTTCGGATTTCCTAGCTGAAAGTCTATTGATCCGAAAATTAAAGGGATCAAAACTTACCTTTTCGAAAATTTCAGCCAGAAAAAAGGCTCCCGAAAACTCTAGGTGACCTTTTTAGGGTAAAAATAGGTTAAAAATGGGTAATTATACCTTTTTTTAGATGTCCGAAAATCCTACTGAGGAGAGGCAGGCAAGCAAGAAATTTTACAACAAATGTTCCGAAAATTCTACATCTCAAATCGACTTCCGAACAGATATTTTCCGAAAATGGACGTTGGGTACCCCTGATTTAAGAAAAGTTTGTTGGAAATATCAATTTGAAAATACATAAAGTTGAATTTTAGTAATCATGGATTTATCATGTCGTCCATAGACGTATATCTAACGTCGACTTCGCTAGGACAGCATGAAACCATTCGTTTACTAGTTGCTGTTAAGGGACCTTAAGCAACGACGACGGCAGTGAAAATGTCGCTTAAAAAAATGAATTTGCGTTCTTTGAAATGTAAACGCGTCTATTTGGACCTGCTCAATAGGGCCATTTATACGAGGAAAAATAAGACGCGTCTTAAATAAGACGCGAACTTTCCGTATAAACGGCACATTTCGTCTAAAATAAGACGCAGCTTAGCTAAGACGCGTCTTAGTAGATAAGACATGCTCGTATAAATGGTACAGTTCGCGTCTTATTTAAGACGCGTCTTATGTAAGACGCGTCTTATTTTTCCTGGTATAAATGGTCCTAATATGTCTAAGGACGACGACGGCAGTACAAACGTCGGTACAAAAATGAATTTGCGTTCTTTCACTTAGTCGCGTCTATTTGAACCCGCTCAATATGTTAAATGCAGGCCACTTTTCCTGGGGTTGAATTCTTAAGGATTTTATTCAGGTTCAAAAAGAGGAAGGAAAATTGGTCGTCGCATGTCCGTGTCCTACATAAAACGTCAAATTAGGAGGTTTCATGTCGTAGTCGTTCAGTGGACGTCAAAGAAATGTACTAAAGAGCGTGATGCACGTGCAGAGCTGTTGTTTTGATAATTAAACCTATTGTTTTTTGAAGTCGTCGTTGTGGTCTTCGTCGTAGTTGCTTAAGCTCCCTATCGATCTTGGCCTGGTTTCTGGAAAGATG